AAAATGTATGTTTTTTATTTATTTTTTTTAATGATGTTGAGATGGTTGACCGTTGATATAATATAGTTAACTTACATTGTCACCCACTATATCTCTTATCATCTTTTCATTTCTGTATCTGACAACTTCTTATTTTATATCTACTTATATTTATTTTTTTATTTTCAACATGTTTTGTATCTTTTGTAGCCCTGAAGACGACCTGCAAAGTGGATCGGGACGTCGGCAAAAATTAAATAATTACTATATTTTAATTTAGTATTTATTTTACCGCACCCCCCGATTAACTCCTCATATTTTTTTTTTTAATTTAACAACTTTTTTTTATTTTAAAAATTTTGATAACACCAACAATATTTAACAAATATTTTTTTAATTTAACATACAGAATTTTGTTTGTAAAAGGGACCGTTTAAAAAGTTTAAATATAGTAGAAAATATGTATATATATATACATACATATATATATATATATATATATATATATATATATATATATATATATATATATATATATATATATATATATATATATATATACATATATACAAACATAAAATAATATAAATTTTGTATTATAATTCAATAAAGCGTTATCAATAATAATAATGATGCAGATTGTCACTGGAGATTTTTTGGCATGTGGTAACTATCTATGAAATGAAGAGTTATCTTTATAAGTTTAACTATGGCTATAATTATTAAGTAATTAAACTCTAGTGGTCTGAGATATAGAGGACTACCGAAGATCATTATTGGACAAGATTTAAATGCATTATTTAGCGTATTTAAGGACCACTCGTAGGTCCATCAGAAGGGGAAGGCTCCAAAGTTGCGCAATAAAGGAACGGTTTGATTCCAACTCTATTGCCTGGAATCCGGGCCCCACTTGATGAAGGAGCTTCCGTGGAGTCATCCACTCGAACCTCCTGAACAAATATGATCCTATGAGAAAGTATACTCGAAGATGGCCGGGTACCGTTCTTCGAAATCGGCGCATGTAAGATGGGTAAGAGGACTAGTTAATCATCTCATAAAATATATTCATCATCTCTTTTGAATATATACATATATGACAGAGAGAGAGAGAGAGGGAGAGAATGAACTGGGATAAGACATCTAATGGAAGCTACAGTAATATGCAGTGAAATTCTGTTGTTTTTTTTATAAAAATGGTAATGTGTATATATATATCTATATTTTTTTTTGTTTATTTAATGAAATTTACAACTGTATACAAATGCTACCAGTAAATATGCACAAATTAGAAATTACGACATGAACAGACTTGAAGAAATACTACCCAGTTGTTGCACTCCCTAAATAATTTACTCGTAAGAAGATCACGATGCCATCTTCTTTTTAGACGCCTAGGAGGATTATCAGGAATCGAGGAAGAAGCAAGTGGATTCAGATGGGACTGGGAAATATGGGTGGGGCGTTAAGGATTTTGGATTGGACACGATAGGAATTTGATGGTTTGGTGGAGCCCCATAGCTCAACACCGTATGTCTATATAGTTCTTATTATAGTTGAGGAGATGAGTCTTTTGTAATTAATTAAAAGTTTAGAGAGTTTGTCTAATAAGTGTTGGAGCAGTCGGAATGTGTATATTTAGTTTATAATTTTTGTTCTAATCGGATTTATTTCAATCAATCAAATACTGCACAATTTCGACCATTTTTAGGGTTCCATTCTTAAAACTCACTTATGGCATTTTTCATTCTTCCCAACAATTCCAGAGATATAGGCTAAGAAAGTAATTAAAGTAGCAAATAAAAGTTCATTTTTATAATTATGTGGATAAATATTAATAGAAAATTGATTTAAAAAAAAAACAGTTTGAATTGTAACGCATGTAATAATTATTCTTCATGTATCCAATTAGTACCCAATTGCTGTTGTGATCTTTCAAAATTCTTCTTGAAGAGTTTCACTCACTATCGATTATCACATCGATAGCTGACCCATCCTTTATATCGAGTTGTGTATTCCCCTCGAGACTTCCTCGGCCGCATCTACAGTCTAGTACCATCGAGATAATCTCGTCCTTAATTGCAACAAATGTTTTTTGTCCTAGGCCTTATTATTGCGGCGGTCGCGGAAGACATAGCTGATGCGCACTAGGAAGAGGCGCGGTAACTGGCGTGGGAACTCCCCCCGGGGACAAATAAAACTGCTGCCAAGGGGCCAGTGAGAAACTATCGACGTGCGTCCAACTTCTCTTCAGTGACTCCTTTCGCCCTGCATACCATTAGCTCTTATCTTCAGGAGTCTGTCCTCTACGTCCTTTCGTTGTCCTTAACCTGTCTTGTCTCCTTAGAACCCCAATGAGCTGTTTAATATGGCGGTTTTAAGAAGGTGGCATTTTTAATGTTATTACAACGATTTTTTAATTATTTTTTTTATAAAAATAAGTGAATTAGAATTAATGATCCTAAAAAGTAAAATTTAATTGGAGGAAAACATAAATAAGGATCGATATTCCAACTTGCAAAGGCTTTTCATCCATTTCACCAGCAATACCATTCTTAGGGAAATTAACAGAAAACTTTGGTAAGATAATAGTCTATATTTCAATTAATTATTAATATTTGTCTAAAAAGTCCTGAATGACTTTATCTTATCGTAACCTACGACTTTTTTTTTTTTTTTTACAAAAATTCTCGGAAATGTGGTTTGTAAAAAATGATAATCGGTAAACTATGTATATTTAATAAGATACTAAAGACTCATGAACATCCACTTTCTTTCCACTTGAACCGGAAGACAATTTGACTCTGAATCCGAGAAAAAAGTGTGGATCTTTTGTCCTGACCTTCAGCCCAATATGACAAAGTAACGAGGTTATGTAGGCCAAACGGCCCAGTATTTTTGTAAGCCATTTGCTTCTCGATTTTGTGATCAAATTGTTTTACGTTTCAAGAGGAAAGCAAATAGATATTAATGAGTTTTTAGTATCTCATTAAATTATTACATTTAATAAAAAAACGTCTGATAATCGTGAGAATTTTCGTAGATAAAAAATTAGTAGGATACGAGATGAATCCATACCCGCAGTTTTATAGGGATGTTTATAATTTGTATAATTGTATACAACGGACTATATTTGAATAAAGTTTAGAAATGAATTTATGGAGTTATTTTATTCAGTATCAAACAAATTTCTATATGGATATAAGTATAAAAACTAAATTATTTTAGAGTGCTTTGTTATTATATATTTTTAAATTTTTTGAGTTAAAAATATCTTTACTAAATAACTTACGTGTACGCTACTCTGAAATATAACATATATGGTTAGTGCCTCACCAAAGAGGAAATTCCTTCAAGCTTAGGCCGTATTCTCATCTAATTGCTGAGCTCTTAAATCCAGAGTCCCATCACTTTTGCTCCCGATCCGATTTTCGGTCATGGGAAAGTGGTCTGATTTATCTGATCTACCTGGAAACCGCAGCGATCGTTGCTCACCTTTCAGACTGTTGAGCGGATTGAGCAAGTTTCAATAGTGCGTATTTATCCTTAATAACAACTTGAGAGGCTTGGGGCCTTCTAGGAAAGGAGTTGGGAATGAAATTAATCCATTACCGGCTACACAGCAGTATCAATTCGCTAGTCCACCATCTTTGACCAATGGTCTGGGTGGAATATTCGCGAATGATGCCATATTGATGAATATATTGGCCGAATATTGACCTTGGCCGTTTTTACGTTCAAAGAGATTTTATCATGTTATTTTATTTTTATACATTAAAGAGGCGGCACTATTATAAGTAGTACTTGGATACAAGTGTAGTCGTATCCAGGGACGTCCAGCCCCCCAAGGTCGACGGCGTAAGAATCAAACCCTCCTCCCAAGATATTTTATTGCTCACCTTTACTTTAAAAACAGAGCAAGCTAAGATAGAATTAGAAAAATCGTAGATCATATACTCTCAAAAATTCAAAAACTCATCAAAATATGCCCTCCCCTCAGAAATTGCGCCGTGAAACCCCCTTCTGGGCACCCCTGGTCAAACTACTTAGACAACATACTTTAAAAGTGGGATTACTCTCGTATTTTACATAGGTCATCCTATGTTACATTTATCTTACTAATAGCTTCTTTTATTTAATATGAAATAAAACAGAAACCTCTTAGATATTTGAAATGTTCATGGAAAATTATTTAATAATGAAATAAAAAAAATAATTCTGTGCAAAATCATTCATATTCAGAAATAACCGATGAATGCACTCCTCGAATTGACTACGAAGGTGCTGTTGATGATGATGACTCGGATGTAGGCCAGTTCCCAGGCTGATCCTAGAACGAACACGAACTATCCTTAACTGATGACACCCGATCCTTGTAGCAACTGACCCCAAACCTTATCGCCCTGACAATGAAGGATTGTCCTCGGAGTGGCTGTTATGAATGGTCTATCCTTTTGTTTATTGCTCTTAGCCAACCTTCATTACAGTATTCCCTTTTTGCTTTATTGCTGAATGAATTGAAATTATCGCTAATATCGAATGTTTCTCGTGACGTCTGAGTTCCAGGAATAAGCAAAGAGAAGTAGCAAATATCGTGCTTAACAACGTTATAATTCGGTTAATTATATCTTAGTAGCATATTAAGTCTCAGAGTGCTATCTATCTTTTAGTTTCTCTCTAACTAACCTATATGCTGAAAGGTTAATTGGTAGAATGGAGGTATATATTATTAACTCTGTTTTTGTATATTCCAGCATATGAGAGGAAGAGGGGTTATCTTACTGGTTACTGATCAATTTTAAGTAGATTGGAAAGATAGTTAAAGAGTGCTTTCTAAAATAAATTTCAAACCATTAAGCCGGATTTGAACCGACGCTCATAGAGTTCGTGGCTGATAAGGCTTGATGACTTTAACATCAAGAGCTTGAAGCACGTCAATTATTACATTTTTAATTGAATTATCTCCCGATTCTCTAAGTAGTACTTAATCGTTGGAGAGATGTTCACTTCTAAATAGTCAAAGCATGTTTTCCTACAAAATCGATCGTTACTGGACACTTCTGGTAAGGGCATAGCGAAGGAACAGTACCAAGCAACATCTCATCTTAATTTCAGAACAGTAATTTATGTGGATTTATGAACCAGGTTCCTTATATTAGACTGTAAATTAGTTATTTTTATTTATACTTGAATACGAAAGGTATATCCATTAAAAAAATAATTTATTTTTTTATAATTTTGACCTTTCACATTCATTATTTGTTCTCACTTGATGCCCACAGAGTTAGCCAGTAGTGTAGCAAAATTTTATTTATTATTAACAAAAATGTTATAGAACTTTATATAAAATTTGCATTTTGCAAATTTCTATGCAATGAACAATTATTTTAACAGCTTCACAGCTTCCCATCACGTCCGGGATATAAATCAGATCATCAGGTCTCTTGGCCAAGGCCTACGTAATCGTCGTAGTGGGCTGTACGGGTTTCTTGTACGATGAAGAATTTCAGTCAGAGGATTCATGTTGTACGCCAGTCTTTGGTGAAAGTTATTGTAGTTCTCTTTTGCAGTATCTAAAATTGTAGGTACGTTTAAGTCTTTATGTAGTGTGTCATTTGTGACATAAAACGATGCGTCAACTATCCTTCGCAACACTTTTGACTGAAAGGACTGAACTTTTTTAATGTTGGAAGTTTTAGCAGAACCCCACATTTCTATGCCGTATGTCCAAATTGGTTTAAGTAAAACTTTATAAACTGTTAGTTTGTTAGTTAAAGATAATTTTGAACGTCTGTCAAGTAATCTGGATAAAAGACCGTATCGTCTGTTTAATTCTATTCGTTTTTGTCTGATGTGAGTCCTCCAAGTAAGTCGTTTGTCCAGGTAAAAACCTAAATACCTAATTACGTCAGATGTTGGGATTTTAAAGTTATTAAAATATATTTCAGGTGAAGGTTTATGGTTAAGAGTGAATACTACATGCACACTTTTTTTTTCATTCATCTTAATTTTCCACCTTGTGGCCCAATCTGCAATATCGTTCAGATGATTTTGAAGAGTGGTAGATGCTGGAACAGGGTTTTTATCTGAGCTTAGGATTGCGGTATCGTCTGCAAAAGTAACCAGGATTGTGTCATTGTGTTCCGGTAGGTCAGACATTTATATATTAAATAATATTGGTCCAAGGACACTACCCTGAGGTACTCCTGCTTTAATAGGTTTAATGTCAGAACGTTCTGTCCCTATAGTGTAGCAAAATAAAAACTCTTAATTAACGAAGTTTTCTTTATTTGGACGTATCCGAGATTCTCTGTATCCCTCGTCAGTAGTGTTGCCCAAATGCAAGACCAAGACGAGTCTAGGTCTTGTAAACTCAGTCTTGGTCATGGTCTTGATCTTGCGCAAGAGTCTCGCAACAGTCTTGCAGTTACTTATTAGCTTATTACAATAGAGATATTACTATTTTATATTTTTTTTTTGGTAGACGAAACCTAATTAAGCCCGAATGAAAAATTAGAGGAGTTAAATGAAAAATTATATTGGCTATACCAATTATTAATATATAATAACTAAAATTGTCGAGTATTAATAACTATTTTGCCTTAATTTTTATTTAAAATATCGATTTTTTTTTTACCAGTCCTAGTCTTGGTCTTGCAACAGTTAGGCGGCCTTGGTCTTGGTCTTGCAAAGTGCAACACCGATTTTAGGCAACACTTCTCGTCAACATCTAGAATTACATGGACTTCAATACAATACAATAAATTATACGTTCAATATTGAACCAGTCATTGATGAGTGGAATAGTGTTGATTGATGGAAATGACTGTACATTCTCAGATAAGTTTGATTTCATTCAACCCTTAAATAAATACCCCATTGTTACCATTAATGTGGTGGCCTTAGTGTCGTTTAGGGTTGGAGGAAAAGGGTGTTGAAATTTTCAACACTTTGAGTGCCAAATTATTTTGGCAAAAAATGGAGAGATGGCCTTGGATACACTGTGAAGTATATTATAAAAATGAAGTTTTACGTCCATTTGTTTTTTTCTATATATTTTATAAACAATGCTTTCACTTCTGTTCGGAGTGCCAAATACAGTGCTAATTTGAACTTTTTTTGCAACAGTAACATAGGTTAAGACATAATCCAGGAATTTATTTTTTAAATTACTTTAGGGTTTTACTCTCTGTTGCTAAATTTAGAAAGGCACTTATGAGATTTACTCGCCCTTATCTGCCACATATCGATCCCTTATCGCGGACATCGTTACATTGAAATCGATTCACAGTTCAGCTTTCTCCGCCCACGAGCCGACAAATTGCCAGGTCTGAGGTCGGTCCAAAACGGGGAATATTAATTCGAGAAATTTATGTAAATCGGAATTAGATGGGGCGGAGATAGGAGCGTACCACATCTCGATTGTGACGGGATAAAGAGATATCGAACGGCCTATCGATATTAATGCAAGGATTAGATAGCTGTTATTATATTGTAGTGTGAGGACCCTCTGAGCTCTAGCCCCGGGCGACTAGATAATTTACAGCGTCACAGCGCGTCTAGAAAAACAGCGGGGGTGAAAGAGAGCTCTTGTTCTGATTCTGTATTAGGCTATCGATTGTGAGATATTCAAGAGCAGTATTGTCTTATCTTGTGACACCTTTTAGCCTCCAGTTATAATTTCTTCTCAAGTATTTTATTTCTGAATACATTTATTTTTATGATAGTATCAGTAACATAGGATACTTTATCCCACATCAGTTTTTGTTTTTTCATTTTATTTTACTTATCTGATCATTATTTCTTTTTATCCTTTATTGGAAAATGTGAACTTTCTATATAGAACGAAATATTGGCAACAACGTTAAAAAAAAGTCCGTGATTGCAAAAACTAACCGTAATATATTTACATTTTCTTAATAATTAAAGACAAACATAAAGTCAAATTCAAATTGATAACAATATTATTTAATATTTGATCATATTTTTTTCATGATATTATTAATTGATTTTCCGTAACAATAAAAAAAAAAAATATATATATATATGTATATATGTATTATATGTTATATATATATATATATATATATATATATGTGTGTGTATGTATGTATGTGTGTATATATATATATATATGTGTGTATTTATGGAATGAAAAAAGAAAAATATTATGTTGAAAAGATATTTTAATTGACCAAAAAAATTATTCTGAACTCCCTAAGTGTTATCCACTATCATCTGTATGGAAATTAAATTATAGTTTTTAGCTTATATTTTTTTTTTATTCTTGTTTTATTCTAGCTCCAATCTCCATGTACTTCAATATTTTTTTTTCATTGTACTTTTGCACATATGTATATATATATATGAGCTCAAGGTCTTAGGTTCGAATCCGGCTAATGACTAATAACTCTTTATTAGGCCTGGATCGACCTTGTGGTCGAGAGTCCTTCCTGGGGCACACCCAGCCTCTATAAAGAAGATTGTCTAACTGTTTTTAAAAGGTCAAAAATAACTTATTTGTAAATTTTTCACAGCTGTTCGCATAAAGTCCTATTTTCGATTTTTTTTTTTTTAAAGCTGTTTAGATACCTGTCCATTGAGAATAATAAACAAAAATTAAAATATTTAGTGATATAAATCCATTCTAATTAAAGTTTTCATTATATTTTATAATTAAAGAAAGATAGGTTTTCAAAATCATGCAAATGAAACCTACATTGATGGGTTTTTAAATTAAAAATATGATAGAAAAAAATAGGATTTTAAAAATACATAATTAAGTTTACCACAAAATAAGTTTATACAATATCTTATGATTATAAAAAAGTATAATATTTTATATAAACAAAACTTAAAAACAAAAACAAAAGTAAAAACAAAAATATAAATAATAAAAAATAATTGTGTTTACTTCTTCATTTTGTAATGTTAAATTCTATATTTGCTTGTTACCTTCTTCATAGTTTTCATTTCTTGAATTATGAACTTAATTTGGACAAATTTTAAAATAAAGAGCGAATTATTAACACACTCATATACATATACATAAATCATCTAATTTATCGCAAAAATGTGCAATCTAATGCAACAAAAATAAATGTCGTGGAATTTAATGTAATATCAAATTTAAATATGTTATTCCAAAGATATTGAAACGAATAGGTAATCGGTTTGGAATTTTTACATCTAAGGGAATAAAAAGTGCAATTACATAAAAATCCTGTCTCTACTCATGATAATACCGAACAAAGAATTTTTTGTTTTATATGAATTTTGTTTTAATTGAGTTATTTTTAATTATATATTTATATATGTTTTTTTAACTATGGAAAAGTAATTTAGCTAGTTATTTGAATTAATTCGTCCTAAATATATAACAATATTTCAGTTTTAAAAATCGAATAAATTTATCAGGCAACAATATTGGCAAATATTGGCAACGACCCTTTTGGCATATACATGCCTCTGAAAGTTTCCACATAATAAATAGGCAGGTATAGATTATGTAGATGGTTAAATATATGCCTATGCATTGAATAAACACATATTAAACAGCCTGGGAGCTCATGTAATCCCACCAGGCTACCGCTAAACACTCACGACTCAACTGTTACGATCGTGGCAGAGCCTTAGTCATCCAGAACTCTCTTCTCCTAAGATATTATCTTTTCTGATTGCCCTATTCTGTCATTTTACATTAATTGATTTTTAAACACACACACATATATATATATATATATATATATATATATATATATATATATATATATATATATATATATATAGTAAATAACTGTAATATGAAAAATTTGTTTTCTGACTTGAAAATGGCTCGTGGAGCCGAAACGTCGTCATTCCAAAATAAGGATTAAATATAAAAACATTATTGGTGTACTATTGATTTATTTGAAATATTAATACATAAAATTACTATACATGAAAGAAGTGATTCCTCAAGAAATATAGAAAACAATTTTTGTTTTACTTTTTTTTAGACAAAACAAATATACAGCTTAAAAAATGAAAAAATATCTTCAAAATAAAATGACAATGGAAATTAATTAATTAATACACTTAATAGAATAAATTTATATGTTATTGTTGAGGTATGAATATTATTTATTTATTTATTTATGCCTCCCTTCCTTGCCTTTCGGCTACACGGGATTTTGCAGGGATGGCATATCACACACGTGCATGCCATTCCTGCTATTAAACCACAAATTAATTTTCAATTTTCTTTTGTTTTATTTTTTCAAATATCTTCTCTTTTCATTATTTTCACTATATTAGTCTGGCAGCCTTCTATTAGCTGGTTCTCTTCCCAGATTAAAGTGGGAGGGTCCCAGAGCAGCTTTCCACCCGTAAACAAAATCTTTTTAATACGGGTAGTTCTGCTCCGTCACTAACTCGGGAAATTCATCCTCCGTGAGGCCATAGACTCGAATTTATTTCATCATTTCGGCCCTTAGTCCATCAAAGGCGGTGCAGTTGACGATAATATGCTCAGCCGTCTCCGGTACTCCGCAAGTGGAGCATAGGGGATCTATGTCTTTTCCAAAACTATGTAACTTAAAGCGGAAACCCCCATGCCCAGTAAGGAATTGAGAGACCCAGTAGTCCGGGAGAACCCACTTAGCTTTCAAGCGACTTCGGACGGTGGGGAAATATTTTCTTAAAGTTGCTCCTTTCAAGGTTGTTACCCACCGCCGAATCCACTCATCTATGGTATCCTCCCGGATAATCCTCTTCCATTTTCTTGGGTCTTCTGCAATCCTCACCCGGATATTCTCCGGAAGATCTGCTGAGCCTTCTCTTTTTAACTTAAATATTAGCCAGTCTTCTCGCAGGAGAAGGTCGAGAGGTACTCCTCCTGCTAAGATCTGCACCGCCTCATGAGACACACTTCGGTATGATTTTGTGACTCGCAATAGAGCCGTTCGTTGAATTGTCGCCAATCTGCGTTTCTGACGGTGTGAGAGATTCTGAGACCACGCAGGAGAGGCGTACCTCAGAATACCCACTATCATTCCATCGTAAATGATCCTCGTAGCTGGGTTGAGGTATGAATAGTTAGAATTTGTAATATAACATTTTAACCACATTTTTAAAAATCCTATCAACTGACTAAAATATATTTGAACTCAAGAAAAGGTCCCCTGGAATATTAAAGTAGGTATAATGGATGTCAGTATGTAATTTTTTAAATATTTTGTTTTTGTATTAATATTTTGATTTAATTTTAATTAATTTAATTTAATTAATAATAATTTTAAATGTTTTAATATTAACATCTTAAAAACTAAATATTTTTATTGTTTTGTTATGTTAATGTTTTATATTTTCTGATGGCCATCATAAATTATGAGTTAATGTCGGTTATTGGTATTATTTTAATTAAATAACTTTTTACCAACTATGTTTATCAATGTAATTCTCTAATAGGTATACGTGTTAAACATCTATTAAAGATCACAGGTATTTGTGTTTTTTTTTTTAATTTCAGAATATTTTAAATTAAAAAAATGTCCACAAACCTGATTAAACGGTTTTAATTTTAATTTTTACCATACTTTAATTTCTGTTTGTGGCGATCAATCTATAATCGCTATCAATCTATAATGTAAGTGTAATTTATTTTATTATAATAAAGTATTATATAAAATACATTTTCTATGTGAATACAATATATAACACTATATTCTTGCAATATTACTAAAAAAGCATCTGGATATAAAGAACGACCCAAGAGTGTCACTAATCAATTACTTACACTGCTTTATTGATATTGTATCTCACTTGAAAACAACCACATTCAATATTTTTTGGTGTGAGAAATTCGAATTGCCACGTCAAAATCAGCAGTTAGCTCTAGTTTCGAAGATATCGTATTTTGGGATGAAGGTTGGTGACCGAGATAAACCGTGGACCGTGGACATCCGCTGCATCACATGTAGCGTAAGCTTAAGGGAATGGTTGAACAAGAAAGATCTTTCAATCTGTTTCCATGGTGTGGAGGAGCTAATCACACTGACAACTGCTACTTTTGCATGATCCTTCCTCCTTATCAGGGAATATCTCAAAAAAACAAATCTGAAGTGAAGTATCCTAACATTCCTTCTGCTATATGGCAAATACCACACGGGGACAAGTTGTCAGGTCCAAGGCCTCCTGAACACTATGACTTGAATGAGGACTAGGATGAAGAAGAGGTAAATCCTCTAGAAGGAATCCATTAGATGATTCCGATTTTTCTTTCTAACAAGAAAAACAAAACCCCACTTGCTTACTCAAACAGAACTCCGAATCAAATCACTATTCGGGACCTGGATCTGCCCAAGAGAAAGCAGAACTGTTGGGTTCAAGATAGAAGCAATGAAACTTCTTACGATCTTGTGTAAATATTACAATGTACAAAAATAGTCAGAAAGACATGATACCATTTTTCGAAAAGTGTGAAAACCTTATTGCCTGTTGTGATGTCCTAGGTCTGATGACAGCATCAAATCTCAATTACAACCCTTCTAAATGAAGGGTGTTCATAGATTCATCAAAGCTATCTCTCTAGGCAGTTCTGTTGTACAATGGCAATTACTTCCCCCGATCCCTATTGGCCGTGCTGTCCACATGAAGGAAACATAGAAATCCTTCTAAAATCCATCAAATACTAGGTCTACTAATGGCAAATCTGTGGGAATCTGAAAGTGGTGGAAACTTTATGAGTGGGACAGTTGAGACAGAGCATCTCATTACAATAGGAAAGAATGGCTTCAAAGAGAAGTCATGACCCCTGAACGAAAAAATGTTCTATACAACCCTCTTGTTGGCCCGGAAAGCATTTTGCCTTCACTATATATAAAGGTGGTAGGGCTCATAAACAATTTGGTCAAAGGAATGGACTGATTAGGAGGGGCATTGTACTTGAGAGGAAAATTTCTTTGCTTAAGTGAAGCTAAAGTTAAAGAGGCTGTATTTGTTAGTATACAAATCAGTGAGCTTTTTAATGAAGATGAATTTTCGAATATTTTTCTGGGTAAAAAAAAAAGCATTTAGATCTTTAGTTAATGGTTTCTTGGGTAACAAAAGAGAGGACAGTTATGCTGTATTCGTCCAAATCCTACTAGCATGTCACTCAAAATTCACTTTCTTCACTCTCATTTGGACATCTTTCCCGAAAATTCTGGATCTGTTAGTGACGAACATGGTGAGCGATTTCACCAAGATATATCCTCGATGGAACGAAGATATCAAGGTCGGGTTACTTCAATGCTGGAAGACTACTGTTGGAACGTTGTGAGGAATTTTCCAGGACATCAGTAGAAGCAAAGAAGAAACGTTGTAAATAAACTGCACGACAGCTCTGTTCTTGCCGATAAAAGTATCAATGTTTTGTGGGTTGTAAAAGTGTTTTACAAATAATAAAGCACTTTTAAAGCCTAAAAAATGATATTGTAACTTCCAATAACTTTTTTTTTTGTATTCTATACTGAGTATACTTATCTGCAGAATGGTAGCTAATATAAGGATTCTGAAAAAAAATTCGAGTTTTTCACACCAAAATTATTTAAGAGAAACAGTTTTCATCGAAATATATGCATACATTTTTTTTTTTTTTTTTTTTTTTTTTTTTGTAGGGCAGTGTTATAAAACTTTTGAGTAGTCCTTAATTATTTGAGCTAATTGTATCCAATCCTTGAAAGCTTGAGCCAGTATTGTGGTTACCTTAAGCACTTCACAATTTTAGATTTCTGTAAATTCATTTACATCCTGATATAATTTTTTCATTATATGTTTGTTCGCAGGTCGTTCTTGTACAGGGTCACTATCTTTCCTTCCTACCGCTGTGTTCCAGGAACGAACCGGTCTTCTTGGCGACTTGCACCCCAGTTGCAATGCCGGAGACCAGGGAGTGCGTAGTCCAAGGAGCTACCAACGTTTTTACCACCATTCACTCGATGGACATGAAGTTCGTCCACGTCGATAGGAAGTAAGTGAGAAATATTTTATAAATATATTGGTCATTTCTTTTAAACCTTGTTTGATTTCGAAAATATATTGCATGATCTTGGTGTTTTTTTTTCATCAACTGGATTGGAATTTGGACCTCATTCCAGATTACACTGCAAGTTTTAAGGAAAAGCGGTCTGTCGCAACATTAAAGCAGGACTACCAATAAAAAAATTACTGTAGGGTATTGTTAACGCCGCATACACTCATATCCTTATTTTTTCTCACCATTCATCCCTTTTTATATGTCAATAATAAAATGGTTGTTTTTTTTTTTGGTAAAAACTGAGGGAAAATTGTCCCTAAAATGCATTTAAGTTTATATTATTTGTATATGTGGCTTCGTTCGTGATGTGTTATCGCGTTTGTGTATACGCTCCAGCCCGGCAGTAATACCCTGTCTTAGGGATTAAGACAGAAATATTGCGATAATACTGCTGGGTCCTCAGCCTGGAACTAGAATATGTCGACATAGTAGTGGAAGTCTACCCCCGCCAGTCCAGACTCACTTCACCTTAACTCACCAGTCTAACGCCATATTTCGATAACAGCTGTTAGGCGCAGCTGAGCAATCGATCGAGATCGATACCAACTCACCATCGATTACTGGACAGCTAAGCATGGAGAAGGTAACCAGGTTGAAGCAGAACTTCCAACTTGGCTCGTTTATTTTTTTGTTTTTTTTATATTCTCACCATCACCAAGACATTTAAATATTGATTAGAATTGTTTTCTTAGTTAAATTAGTTATTCTTTTTGGACAGTTATTTTTTTTTCTCTTGTTTTATCTATAATTTTTGAAGTTGAGTTTATTTATATTTTGTTATTGATGGTTAATTTTGTTTTATTTTCACTGGATATTGTATTTATCTTTAATTTTTTCTCGTAACTTTCCAGTATTGTTCGTTTCAACTTTTGTATAAATTTATATGTCTTTTTTTATTCAATAAATTGTAAACATTTAGAAGGGGATTATTTTTTTTTTTATCTTAACATTTTTAATTGATCGAATATTTTTATTTTGACGTGCATGCATTTTTCACGTTTTACAGGTCTCATTTTACTCTTTTTCCCTCTTTCCTAACATTTTTTAATTTCACTCGAATTTTCCCCACCTTTGAGGAAACTCACCGGGGAAAGATTTGTACTTCGATTTTGAAGTACCCCTGGTCCCAACAGGTATATAAAAAAGGGATTGATACCAAGTGATTGATGGATATTAAAGATATTTGTCTCAATCACGGCTGTTACGCAACTCCGTGGGAGATGCGTCCTCAGATGATCTTTAGCCCGAGCACGAGTGTGGGTCCTACGTCGCTAAATGTTATTAGTCTTGTTAGTCTGAATTATTTATCGAAACTGTATCTCATTTGTAACTTGTAACTTTCCTAGTTATATAACGTGACATTTTGGGATGACATGGAATTCACACGTCATGGTAAATTATTATTGTTGTTCCTGCATTGATTCAAATCACATGTAAGATTATCCTTTTTCTATAACATATTTCAATAAAATTTATTATACGAATGCAACTTTTTTTTATTTATTATGTATTTAAAATAAACAAAAATTATTTATTGTTCCCATTCTTTCCTACTCATTAATACGGATTTTGGTTGAAGCATCGCATATTCTACCATATATTCTCATAATTCTTCGTTCTTTTAACTTGTTTTTTGTTTTCTTTATTATACCTTTTCATTAAATGAGGTTAAAATAATTAATCCCACCGCTCCCTCTAACCGTATATAATGAATGTTGAGTCCAGTTGTCCTCAGTAATATGGCTCTTATGGTCAAGTTAAACGTTTAATTTCTGAAGATAATGTTTGTTACTATTGAATATTTCGATATTATAATTTTTTTTTTTATATCTTCACATCTGACGATTGATTAAATAGCCTAATTTGACCTAACACGATTTAGTTCCGAAATAAATCTGGGTTTTTGTATTATAATTTGTAGAGAGATGATTTTTTTTTTCTTATTTAGCCCTGCATTTTAAAACGTGATCCAAATTCGTAAAATTAAAGTCTGTAAAGTTTTAAATAACACAGATTCATCTTTTAATTATTTATATTCCATTAGTTTAAATTCAAGCAATGTGGGTCATGTAATGACACTTTAGCATTATAAAAATATCATTACTTAAGTCTATGATTTTATAAAATATTAAAAAAATATATTTATATGTATCTGTTTTTTTGTCAACCCTACTTCGCCGTTCAGGCTACCCGGAGGTTTTCAAGAGTCAGGGGAGAGAGTGAGAAATTGATGTCAGAGTTAAAAAAAAACACCTATCACTGCGATGCGAACTCGTAATTATTTTATCATGATAACCTCTATTTATTAGGTTGCCGAGTTAAACGTGTTTGCACACACGATAGCACGCTTGGCCACCCTAACACAACTTGTCAAGGAATGAGTTTAAACGTTATAATATACTTTTTTTGGTTCGATTTATAGTTGAAACATTAGAGAGGCTGTGGAGACCGAGTGTGTTAAAGGATCGCTCGCTTCAACATTCAAAAGTCTAGCTGTGGCGATTCGTTCCAGCCCGGGCGGGTTGAAATTAATTTCGTAGTTGATCCACTTAACGAATCTCGATTATTCTTCCCTGATTAGAGTAGGCTTGGTTGTACCTTTAGAACTACTCCCAGAAATAGCGTGGTAGGGGTTAAAAGAAAAAAAAAATAAAAGGTTTTTGTATTCAAATATTAAAACTTCGTGATGAAGATTATGCTTTCCGATGTTTCCTTTAACTCATAATTTTGAATAATTAGAATCGTTGATCCTCTCAGGAAAATAATGGATACTGTAAAACGACGAAGCTGCAATATAGACTTTTTCTAACCGGTCATCAGGATCAAGAGTTTTTAAAATTCCAATAGTGATGAAACCAACAGTCTGCTGATAAAATAAATCTGGACAAGAAAATAGTTGTACAGACGACACACTCTATTTACCTCTAAATTGATCTTTGATTCCAACATGCGAAATCCAATGAGCTGACAAAAGTTACTCAGATCGGATGACACAGAATCGCTCTTTTTACGTAGCAAATAAGTTAGGATACGAATATCGAATGTACCACTGACGTTTTTACTAAGAGACCTTCTTCTGCTCCGAGTCCTTCCATGATGACCCGCTACCACGTACAGTTCATCGAGAGCAGCCTTGAACAAGAAGCCAGAGGAGCCAAGATAGCGACTCAGGTATTAAGCCATTAGCGAGGCGAAGGAGCGGCCAGGTGGTCCAAGCAGAGACACCGACACAAACTAGAGTTTTTGTGAGAGGCACGGCTCGGCTAGTTTTTACAGAGGACTATTACCGCTCAATATAATTCCGAGGACGTCCCTCGCAGATAAGGAATCTCCTAACACTGCCATATCCGGACCAGCTTCTTCACTCCTCCCTTCTTCGGCTCTGGCGCTTTTTTATCGGCCTTAATCAGCTCCGTTCCTAGGCTAACGAGCCATTTGTTATTAGTCTTTTGTTTAACATTCGATATCTATAACGATAAGATATAAATTGAACTTTTTAAGTGTGTGCAGTTTCTGGTTGAAAAAGAACAAAATGGCTAAATCTGAACCAAAGACCTGATATGATTTTATAGATAATATTGGATTCATATAACCTTATATGGATATAGAAAAAAGCTCTCATTCAATCTGTTGTCAAAGAATAATGGTTGTGAGTGTTATTATGACGGTGAATAAATAAATAAATCACTACTTTTTCATATATAAAATAATATTCATGGGTAACTAACTAACTATCAATAACTAATTTAAAAACGTAAATCCCATCAAATTAACTTCACTCTTCGTCGCAAACCTATGACTTCCTGTCCTACAGTACCCTTCAACAATAGCCCTCTTATCCCTGTCGAACAAATTTGATACTTAGGACTTGACAAACGACTCACTAGAAACCGCCCGACGTTTTCGATTACTGCCGATCACTTACTAGACAAACGCTCTAAGCTTTCAATCAATTACAAACGACTCATTTATATGACAATAATAAGACTTATTTGGACTTACGGAATTGAGCTTTGGGGCTCCACTAAACCATCAAATTCCTCTCGTATCCAATCCTTACAATCCAAAATCCTACGTAAAATCCTCAACGCTCCTTACTTTGTCATAAATAAAATCCTCCATAAAGACCATAATGTTCCATATGTTATGATTTGGCCCAAACCAGATACCTATCCTTCCATATCAAACTGCAGAACCATCCGAATCCTCTCGTTTTAAACCTTGCTTCCTCCTCGAACTCTGATAACCCTCCGAGGCGTCTGAAAAGAAGATGGCCTCGGGACCTTCTAATATAGATCTTTAATTTGAGTTCTACCCATGGGTAGTTTCTCTTCATATTGTACATGTCATGTTACCAATGTCACATTTACTTGTTGTATTTTCTATGTAATACAGTTGTAAATTTCATTAAAATAAAAAAAACGTAAATGTTTTTTTTTCTCTGTTGCCATTACAGACCATGTTGATCTTTTGCCGCCTTAACAAGCCTGCTCCTTTTCTGCCTTTCTTGGGCTATTTCTTTCCATTTATCTGCACCGAGTTCTATTGCATCTTTGTTGATTTTATTTATTCATCTGCTTGTTGGCCTTGCACGTGCTCTTTTGCCTTTCTTCAGGCATCCGTTGTTACGTAGAGGCTTCAAGATGGATTGCTACGAGCTACATGCCCCGCCCATCTTAACCTCCGCACCTTCATATCATGGGATATTGATTCACCAGTTTTTAGAAGCAGTTCTTTATTAGCATTTCTTCTCCATGTGCTAGTACTCCGATCACAGATCGCTCCGGTTTTCCGGAATTTCCTATCAAATATTTTAGCACCTTTTTTTTTGTGTCAAGGTCCCACATCCATTTATTAGAACTGGCTTTATCGTGGCATTGTACACCCTTCGTTTAAGATTTCTTGAGATTTTTCTGGATTTTCATACCCTTGAAAGGG